CTCACAGGTCGCAGTAAACCGTTTCATGTCCTGGAGCAGGCGGATCCTTCCGATCCGGATGATCCGGGGGCGGTGTTTTTATCCCCTGAAGAAGATGTCGCTCGCTTGCAAACTGAAGTACATTGTGGAGCACAGCATGTACGATGTGCCCAGACTATAGGTGGTGATGACAATGCAATTGGCCCTCCAGCCCATTTTGAGTCCGTTGAAAAGCTCTGAGCTCAGAATATATCGTGCGACAGCCAGAGGTCGATCCAATGATCTGAAACCGTGCCCTACTGTGAATACAGTACGTGAGGTGTAACGCAAATGTGGCCGAATGCACTTCGGTTCTCCCACCCGAAGACTTCGCTATCCACCGATTGGGTGGAACACGAAGGCTTCTGTGTCCTGGATGCTGTGCTGGAATCTCTTCGTCCTTTGGCAGATGATACTGCTCGTTTCGTCTGGTTCCTTGCTCGACATGCGATGCTTTTAGTTTGCCTTCCGAGGTTATGTGACTGTGAATCAAGTACCTGCCCCGCGAACTTTTGAGCAAGCCGAGACTTGGCTTCAGTCGTATAGCAAGCTCACTGGAACGAAGCCCTGCTGATCAACATGAGGTAGACAATGTGGCCTCAAAAAATCTTCCAGAGCTGGATCGGAAGGTCATCGCCGGTTTGCTGAAGAAAGGATGCTCCCGTGTACGCCGGTTACGAGGAAAGACAGGGTAGCTAGGCTAAAAAGTATGATGGTTATATTCCAGCAGATGTAATGCTCCTTTCGCAGCCCAGGTCTTCGTACAGCGAACGAATGGATCGCTTGAAAAGCAAGTTCCCTGCTGCAGTAGTAAACAGTAAGCATTCAAAAGTGTGTGGTCCTTTGTCCTGATCGTTCGCGATCTGAGGATGGATGGTTGGGTGGAGAAAAAGAAAAGGAAGAAGACGGACCGCAACAGGGTACTTGATGTCGATAAAATGCTCGACGAAATAGATGCCGAAGATCCGGTGGACGACGAGGAGATTGAAAGGCTCCTCTTCGAGTCTCCAGAGCGACCGTGCTCCAGATAAATTCAGGTGATTTGTGCGAGCACATAGCCTTCGAGCCATGATTGAATTGTCGTGGATCTGAGGAGCTCCTCAGACCGTGGAGCGAAGTCGCTTGCATACGAAAATAATGCTTCCCAATGCTTTTGAGCTGAGAGCCCGCAGCACGCAGATAAAGACTGACTTTGAACCATTCGAGGATTCAGCGGCTGGAGGAGGAGTTTGGTGACTTGAGGCGTTTTACGCCTGACGAGGTTGAGGACCTCCTGGGGCCGGAAACGCCGAAGTCTGGAGATCGCGAGCCAAAGCCAAGCGAGCATGGAGATCGCGAGCCAAAGCCCAACGAGACTGGAGATCACGAACCAAAGCCCAACGAGGCTGGAGATCGCAAGCCAAGCGAGGCTGGAGATCACGAGCCAAAGCCAAGCGAGCCTGGAGATCGCGAGCAGCCCATGGATCCGACCGTTGGGCCTCATGGTTGCAATTATTTTGTGATGTGGGCTGCCTGGATATTCCATATGACTCTTGCCGTAGTTTTAATTCATATGAGGCAGACGATGCCGAGCTCGTCTTCACGTCCTACAGCTCGGGAGGTTCTTGGCGATAACTGGACTAAGTAAGACTATTCTTGCTCCGGTATGAATCCTTGTGAGGCTGCCCAGCAAAAGTACGCAGAGGCTCATTTGAAGATCTTTGGATCCGTCTGGGGCTAAGCATGCCTAATACTCACAAACATCGAGTAGCATATCATATGGTTTCAATTTTCCATAAGCCAAGGATGCCATCACGTTGGATGATAGTTCCAGTGAAACCGATCTGGCTACGATGGAAGCTTTAGTGGAGCAGAGAAATTTTGTGCATCCAGATGCCGTTGCCACCGACCCTCTTCTCAATAGATTGCAACATCTGCTGGGTGGGCATTCTTTAGTGTTTGTCCCAACCGAGGAAAAGGACGAGCAAGGATTGGACACTTCCAAGGGCAATGCCAAGAAAAAGGCCAGCGGGGACACGATTCCGGATGATGAAGGGAATAAGAAGAAGAAAAAAGGAAAAAAGGCTCCGGAGGAGCCCAACAAGACTTTCGCCGGTCGCCCGCCGCCGACAACCACGCCGTTTCTCTGGAGATTTCAGTTTGCTGCTGAAGCTTTCCAGGAGTGTCCTGCTTGATTTTAATCTAACACATTCATTGCACGGCCCTCGTGAGCTACTGAAAGCCTTCCGTGCTGACCTAACCGTCTAAGGCATTTGTCCGGAAAAGTCGCGATGGCGAAAGACAAAGCCGAGCGAAAGTTCCTGGCATATGTGTCCGAGCAGGGCCTCAGCACGATGACTGATCAGACAGAAATTGAAATCTTCTGTCACGATATGGCAGTGGCATTTCTGCTGCACGAGGCCGGGCCGAGTTCGTACCCGTACCAGTCGAGACAGGATTTAGGGGCAAGGCTTTAAGGTCAAGGCATCTCGGAGGGTATGTGTCGATATGTGGGTGGGTCTGAAGTATGAGACTGGGGTGGTCTGATATATTAAGGGTAGGGTTCAATATTCTGATATAACTTAGGTAATCATCACAGCCCGGAAGTAGGTGTCATATGTTTTTAAAACCCCCTTTCGCAACCGAAAACAATCAAAACCTTTCGCTTAAACTTAACCCTAAGTTCTACTTCCCTGCAGGTCCCGGACATGTGAGTCGTGGCTCGCCTTTTTTTACACGTGCCTTCCGGTGCAGACGATCGATGCAGACGATCCGTTGGCTCCCAGTAATATGTAGTGTAAAGATATTACCTAGGCTGCACTAGCTGCTATATGGTTCAAAGTCCGCTCCAGCTGGGTCGCCCTCTGATCGAGCTATAGCTGGGACAGACGGATACATGCTACTGCGAGCAAACAGCTGCACGCACAGTGCCACTCATAATATTGCGATTGGCTGTATGGACACTATGTAACGGTACGGTACATAAGCTGTGCAGCCGGTGGCAGGTACAGCTTCAGCATCCTCAGCTCGCAAGCGATCCTGCGAGAGCGATGACAGAGGTGTGCCCCGCATGCCACTGCACTGCTGTTGATCCTGCTAGAGCTGACTCAGATGCTCATGTGCAGTCGAAACCTTGCATGCAAACCCCTGTCTTTCGCAGGCCTTCACGCCGAGATAGGCATAGGAGCTGATGGTTTGACCTTATAGAGCATAGGTTGACGATAAAGGGATATCAAAAACTAGATCCAAGACTCCGTCTGGAGTGCAATTGGGACATCCTAGACTCTGGTGCATGCCTCCGAACAATGGCGAGCTGCTCTTCCTCATCCTGTGCCCGGTCTGACATACAATAGCTAGTCAGCTAGTCCCGTCCTCAAATGAACCCAAACCTTAAACCCCAAACCGTAAACCAAGGTGCCCCGCAATGGCTCTGGCTTCGAGCTGATGCTCATCGACAAAGGTTTCCTGGCTTCGCTTTGTGTCTTTCTTCTACATTCAGTGAACGCTTTAATTTGTGTTGGCACGTGTTTTATATCCCAGCTAGCAGTGGAAGAGGAAACGTTCCCTAGGCTTCTATACCAGGATCGGTTTTTCTGTCCAAGCATCTAATCACAGCATGCACGGTTATGTACGCTTTCGTATGATGTCTCCTGGGGCTACTGGACAAGAAGCTTTTGTAGAGATACAGGTGTTGTGTCTTGGCGGATTTACTGCTGTATTAGTTAACGCCATAATTTATGGGTGGGGCTTTTGTGTCCTAGTGCAGGATGTACGGTTTTGTACGCCTGTGTACGGGTACGGATTTTGTGTGCTAGTGCAGGATGTACGAAATTGTACGCTTTTGTACGGGTATGGTCTTTGTGTCCTAGTGCAGGATGTACTCCAATCAAGTTTGCAGCAGTTGAGCTTGGGTTCTGTACAGTCGCAACCCCCATCACCCCGAATATCCATATATTGGTGCTGGGGCTCTGATGCAAATATATCAGGTCACGTATGGAAAGTAGAGCCACAGAACTACGGGAATGCCTTGTTCGTGGATTGTTGGTATCCTGGGGCTTCGCACGACCGAGCTGCACTCGTGGGGTTTATCCTGCCCAAAAGTTCACTTCGCAAAAATCTAACCACGACTTAATATATGGTATAACTCGGGGATTGTCTTTCTCCCAACAGATTAGTGGTTGAGACTCTTAGGGTCCCGTACTCCTTCCGTCGCCCGGCCCAGGACGTGGTGGGGCTGCCATTTCGATCTAGATCAGGACCCAGGACCAGGGTTTTTTTCACGACGTGTCTGTCGGATCCAAGTACCTTTTTTTATGCTATGGACGAGTTGCCTAGACTTCCTCCTTCTTGTAACTGTTGCCGCTAGTACTTGCATTGTTCAAACTATTATGAGGATCCTGCTACACGGCGAATGTTCACATATTTCTTTTTGGTATGGAAACCTAAATCTTAGCCCTTAACCCACAGCCTGAAATCCTGACTGTCCGAGGTAAGACTAGTCGCTAGCCTCATTGAGCTTTACTCGTAGCAGCTAGCCTACTCTTGAATATCGGGCTAATTATTAGTCAAAGCCTTTCTGAAGTAGGTCATATGAGCCTGCGAGCTCATCAAATTTGTTGGTGCTTGAACCTGTGCTAAGTGCTAAACATCCGAAACCCGTGCCCCTCTCCACGCTGCCCTGAACCTTAAAAAATAACCTCAGCCCCAAATATCCTGAACCTTCATCCATGAACTTCTTCTCACTCGAAGAGCCTAGGAAGCCCCGGGCCCTTTAGATCACACCCCCGCCCATTGCACGTAATTGCTGTCCGCCGCCCCGAACCTCCGGTTTATCGAGACCCCCTTTCCTGGTTCAACAGTTAAACCCTGGATCGAGGAGGCAGCCTGCAGTGCTTTATCGAAGCCGAGGGAGAGGTCACCTTCGACCGGGTTCATACGCCGGGTTGGGATCCAAAACACAGGGCCCAAACTCTTTTCGGCTTTTGGGTTCGGGGTTTGGCATCTGTTGGCAGTTTAATTGGGGGCTTGAAAGGTTTAGGGGTTTCGGTGTTTAGGGGCTTAAGGGGTTTGGGGTGTCGTGTTTGAGTACTACCATAATGTCGGGAGTTTGGTTCCAGCTTGCACGCTAAACCTTGATCTTGAGGTTCGAGGCTTTGTGGTTTCGAGTCCAGGCCCGGTTTCTGGATTCCCCATCCTTAAGCTACTTGGTAGCAAACTAGACTTATAGTGGTCATGCAGAGGATTATCGCTTCGTCCCGCAAACAAAATCTAGAATTACGAAACGCTTCAAAACAAACCCCCGGCCGCTTCCTTCTGGTCTTGACATGGCCTCTATATCCCTATGACACATGCCAGGGGTGGCAAAGCACGGGGGGCAAGGGCAAGGACCGATTGGCATGATTCGTTGCAAAGCGAGCTCGAGTGCCACAGCCAGGCCGACGCACGTCGGTGTTCGGAAATCATTACCTGCCTGCCCGCAGGACTCTATGTTGGATCGTGGTTTCCAATCTGACAGAAGAGCCTTGCTGTGAGATCCAAAGCCCAACTCCTACAGACCGCCGAATAATTTTAATCCTAACCTATAGGTGGGAATATACCCCGGGCATCTTCCACTCCAGTAGTCTTGCTACATATTATTTGTGGGCATAGATGCTAGTCATAAACTATTGATTGTAGATATCTTGGATTGAAAGGATAGCTTGCTCAGCTGAGCAGCTGTACCCTAGCCCTAAAGCCACTCGTACTCCAAGCTTTGGGCTGCTGACCGCTTCAGTCGGATGCGACCTGCCAATGTTTCGTGCAGAGCTGGGTTAATAAGTCTTTCATGCATTTGGTTCGGTAGCCTGGCTAGGACTCTCTAGAAAGATATATTATGAAATTAAGAAGTGTCTTCTTTTCCGGGTAACTGGGGCTTAGTCTCGAAACCCTGACACCCGGGCAACGTTTCGGTCAGGTTTCATATATAGTAGAGATTTGAGGATAAAGGCCCAGCTTCTGATCTTCCTTGCTACGACTGCTAGACACCTTGTTTGTGTATACTCGTACGCCTTAAGAATAAAGCCTAACTCTGGACTTAGTACGTATACTTTAAATACCACGAAGCCTTAAAGCAGTTTGACACAACTCAGCCAACTTCTCCAATTTTAAATGACCGTCCCAGATCCCAGGCCCAGCTCTGCAATCATGCATGCAAGCTGTGTGCTTCCAGTGTACATCCTACGGACACAAAACCTCAAACCGTGTATATACGCACACATCCTAATACATGTGTCAGTCAAGAAGATAAGGAAGCCATGTATACACAAACGAATGTGGGTTTTGAGTCCTAGTGCAGGATGTACGGTTTTGTACGCTTGTGTACGGGTACGGCCTTTGTGTCCTAGAGCAGGATGTACGGTTTTGTACGCTTTTGTACGGGTATGGTTTTTGTGTCCTAAAGCAGGATGTACGGTTGTGTACGCCTGTGTACGGGTACGGGTTTTGTGTCCTAAAGCAGGATGTACGGTTTTGTACGCTTGTGTACGGGTACGGTTCTTGTGTCCTAGTGCAGGATGTACGGTTTTGTACGCCTGTGTACGGGTACGGGTTTTGTATCCTAAAGCAGGATGTACGGTTTTGTACGCTTGTGTACGGGTACGGCCTTTGTGTCCTAGAGCAGGATGTACGGTTGTGTACGCTTTTGTAGATAGTACCGGGTTGTGTGTTAACTCACGGCTTCAGCAGGTACGGTACGGGTTTCGCCTGCTAGTGCTGGGCACTTTATACCGTCGTTGCTGGGTCCTGGGCAAGATTAATATGACCATTCACTTCTGAATGATACCGACCTAATTTTCGCAGGACCTCTGCCAGATTTGCAGTAGCTGCCTCGCCTGTCGATGACCGACAGCAACTTTCCGAAGACCTGGTCTTGCTGAACTCCGACTAGACTTGCAAGTTCGAACCAAAATTGCTCGTTTCGGTTCTAGTTCAGGCATCTGGCTAGTTCGATGGAGAGGCTTCAAAACCACAATGTCTGTTTTTCTGTCCGTCTTAAGGATCTTGGCTTCAGCTCGGTGATTTGTTTGGCCTGGTTTAAACACATCCGATGCACATCTCTTTCGCGGCTTTGCACGCTTGTGTACGGGTACGGGTTTTGTGTCCTAAAGCAGGATGTACGGTTTTGTACGCTTGTGTACGGGTACGGGTTTTGTGTGCTAGTGCAGGATGTACGCTTTTGTATGCTTTTGTACGGGTACGGTTCTTGTGTCCTAGTGCAGGATGTACGGTTTTGTACGCCTGTGTACGGGTACGGGTTTTGTGTCCTAAAGCAGGATGTACGGTTTTGTACGCTTGTGTACGGGTACGGTTGTTGTGTCCTAGTGCAGGATGTACGGTTTTGTACGCTTTTGTACGGGTACGGTTTTTTGTGTCCTAGTGCAGGATGTACGGTTGCACGTATTAGGTGTTGTGAGCTATAGGAAGTACGGTGTTGTACGCCTTTGTACGGGTACCGGTTGTGTGTTCATTTACGGCTTTAGACGGGTACGGATTTCGCCTGGTAGTGCACTAGTGGTCTGCATCTATTATGCATAATTTGGAGGCTTCCTGTACGGCTGGGTGCAGAATATCGCTGCTTGGCAGATCCAGTTGCTCAAGCAGGGTCTTTTCGCATGCTGAGGTTTGATGGCTTACACTACTTTCCACGAACAGAGGCAACCGTACACAACCGTACGTATCCGTACGCCATAGTCAACGAAGAAAGAACCGTACCCGTACAAAAGCCGTACGTAACCGTACACGCTATAGTACTCGGATCTGGGCCCCAATTCCACGGATCCGATGGCAGAATCAGGACGGCTCGTACCTTATGGAAACACAAGCCACCTAGAGGTGTGGTCGATGATTTCGAGTTAAGGCGGCCACCCGACGGCGACACGGCCCGCCAAGCACAGGCCACTCACACAAAGGTTATAGTTTGTGGAGCCTTTAATATTACAACCCCCAAAATATATTGAATCTCAAGCCCTTAAATTAACAACCTCGCCGCAGGCTGAGCTTCGAGCTGCAAAGGTGGAGCTAATGGAGGCCTGTGTTTCTGAGCTGCCATATAATGTTTACACATATATACATATACATATACGAGATCACATAATATCTGCTGGTACGTGACAGGCTGATCTGGGCTTGGATTCAGGTGTCGAGACTTGGCTATGAAGTCATCTCATGCCTGGCTTCGGGAGCTCGTAAGGCTTTATGTGTGCTTCTAGATTTATAGCCAAGGCTACTGCGGCTACTGCAGAGGACTCGCAAGCCACACAGCCCTGGGATGGAACACCGGCACCCGCTGCCAACGACTTCGACGATGACGACTTGGAAAAGGAGTTGGAAAGGCTTATGAGCGAAGAGGCTGGGACACATGTGCCCGGCACAACTACGTGCCCCAAATCCTGAACCTTACTTACCACAACCAAACGAAAAGGGTGTGCTGCGGTTCCTTAATTATACTAGAGGCCGATTGCAGATATACTGTGACACATGCTTTAGCTTTCTGATAGACACACAAACAGCTTAGATTCTAAACCCTATGCCCCTCTCCAAATACCCCAAAGACCGGAAACCACGAACACCAAAGTCCTAAAGCCCCGAGCCATAAAGGAGTGTAGTCAACAATCCTGAAGCTTGTAGCTTCAACTCTTATTAATAATTGCACCCTGCGATTCAATCCTGTACCCTGACCCGCCCCTCAGTACCGAAGCTAAGCAGTGGCCCGAGCATTGTCCGTCAGGACGCCGCAGCTTCCGCCCAGGCTTCTGAGCCTGAAAGCAATAGCAAGATGCAGGCACTTGAACAAGAACAGGCTACGCTGAAACAACTATACGAAGAAGCTGTGGCCCGCATTGCTAAGCAGAAGCTAGAGGCCACTACGCATGGCACAGCAGCAGCAGAAGAAGAAGCCGAGAAGAAAAGAAAAGCAGCAGCAGCAGCACAGGAAGCCGAGGAGAAAAGACAAGAAGCAGCAGCAGCAGCAGCAGCAGCAGCAGAAGCCGAGAAGAAAAGACAAGAAGCAGCAGCAGCAGAAGCCGAGAAGAAAAGACAAGAAGCAACAGAAGCAGAAGCCGAGAGGAAAAGACAGGCAGCAGCAGACGAAGCCGAAAAGAAAAGGCAGGAAGCAGCAGCAGCAGAAGCCGAAAAGAAAAGACAGGAAGCAGCAGCAGCAGAAGCCGAGAGGAAAAGGCTCGAAGCAGCACTAGCCGCAGAGATAGAAGCAGCTGATGCCCAGAAGAAACGCCGAGAGGAAGCACTTGCAGCAGAAGCAGCTAAGAAAGCACAAGAGGCAGCAGCAGCAGAAGCAGCAGACACCGAAAAGAAACGGCAAACAGCTGTTGAGGATGAAATCCGAAGAATGAGGCAACGGATCCAGGAGCTGACGGGGGAGACGCCACCGACAATCGGCACGAGCAACTTCAAACGTGCACACAGCCCCACACGAGCAGCACCGAGCCGGAGCTTGGATCTATCGCCACTTTCGAAACAACTCAAACAGGAACACGAGGAAGAGGAAAGGCTCAAAAGGGAGGTTGCAAATGCTACGAAGAAGGCGAAGTTGGATGAAATCCAAAGGAAGAATGAGGCCATGCGACAAAAGCTCTTGGCCTTGGGCAGCAGTGCTTCGACAAACTCCCCGCCCGCAGCAACTCCGAACCCCAGTGCTTCGCCGGCCCCGGCCGCAACAAGTGCGAACCCCGCTCCTTCGCCGACCCCGGCCGCAACACCTGCTTCGCCGATCCCACCCCCGCCTCAGGGCCCACCCCCACCTCAGGGCACTGCGACCCCTCCGACAACGATCCCAGCAGCTGCTCCTCCCGAGACTTCGACGAGTGAACCGACTGCTGCTGATGAAGTGCCTAGACCAATCTATTATAGTACCTAAACCTAAATCCTGAAACCTTAAGTTTTTCTCTGAGGAGTATAAATATTTGTATATATATATAGACAGTTATATAACATCATACATTAATAAACTATTACTAGGGGTATACATGTATGTGTGTATATATATATGAGAATAATCAAACCGAAACTTTGAGCAGCCACCAAACAACATACATCTAGTGATCCGAGGCGAACACAGTGGCACGAAAAGAAGCGGCCGCAGCGATCCAGACGGTCCGCCGGCTTACGAAAAACCCTCACCGATGCACGCTGGAGATCCTTCAAGCATGGAGGACGGGTGGTGATGTGAGGAAGGATATGATCAAGGAGTACATGGCGAGTGGACAGGACGTGAACAAGGTCACGGTGGGGATCATTTTGAAGGATATGATGGTTGAGCAGCTTAGTCAATGTTTAGAATTTTTGGGCTCATTGGGCTCCCTCGTTCGTTTCATGTGCTGAGCTCAGGCAAGAAAAAAAGACAAAGCAGTCTTTGACGAGAGAACAGGTGTTCACGCACTACGCCCCCAACGAACAGAAAGCGAAGGATGCCATTGACTTTGCTGTCCAGCAAGGCCGTAAGGATCTCAGTCCAATCGAGCCACAACCAAAAAGTTGTGCATGTTGGTCTACTTAAGGCTGCCGGGACGATCCGAACTTCCCTGCTGGTTCGGGGAACCTGCTGTACAATATCTTCACAGAGTTTTCCGAGACTGAGCTCTTCGAAAAACGTCGCGAGATCGAGGCAAGCATCAAACCACTTGCCTCCGACAACAGACCGGAAGCCAAAAAGCTGTTCTCAGAACTGCGACTTAGTGGCAATTCGTTGGCTTCGCTTCGTTCTGGTTCTCTTTCTTCGAAAAACCCTTAAACTAAAGCCCAAACCCTAGCAACAAAACCCTACATTAAAAACTCCAAACCCTAACCTGTCCGTCTGATATCCCTATTCATAAAACCATCCTCGACCCTTCCAGAATAGCTGTTTGCATACCTATCTCAGGTGCCATGAGTCTACGACAGCTACGCCTACGCCGGCTGCCATTACGGAGAGTGCAGGCTAATACGACTTTACGATGCCTTGATTGTTATCGGGTCGGGTGGCTTTGCAGGAGAAGCGAAAGCTTCTGCGAAGGCGACAGCCAAGGCGAAAGGGAAGGCGAAATCGAAAGCTCCGGCGGCCATGAAAACCGGAATATTCGAGTTGACAAAATGCAGAAGCAGCGATTTGAAAGAAGCCCTCCCGCGGTTCAACCGAGCCGAAACAAAAAAAAATATGGAGAAGGAGGTGCTTGCCAAGGTGGGACTTTAAACAGTGCAGCACGTACTCAGAACCCCAATTGTGGAATCGACCCCGGCAGGTCGGCCTGGTTGCACGTCTGCAACTTCAGCTTCAAGACCTCGAGGATGCCAGTGCTGTTATGGATTCGTTGTTAAAGGCCAAAACTGGGCTCGAGGAGAAGTACAAGGCCTTTGGGCTATGTCTGTATGTTCTGCATATGCACTCATCCATACATACAAGTATGTGTTATCAGATGGTGTAGCAGGCCTTAAAGAATCTCGACGAAACCGTTGACGAGGCCGAATGGCAGGAGCATCTAAAGGCCATTTCGCTGTGTACGCATATACATGTTTTCTATCCATCCCTCTCCCCTTCCAAAAGCCTAAACCTTAAACCCTGGCAGGAGGTGGCAAGGGCTTTCTTGGTGTGTGCCAGCAAAGAGGACCCTGTCTGCTGTCACATCATTCAATGGCAAAGTCTGTCCCAGTGTCGTACATACAAAGAGAAGGTGACAGAGTGAGAGTGAAAGAGAGCGAGAGAGATAGAGAGAGGGAGAAAAAAAAGCGAGAACCCAAAACACGCACAAATCTAAGAGAGAGAGAGAGAGAGAGAAGGAGAGACAGATAGAGATATAAATAGATAGAGAGATGGCGAGGGAGTGAGAGACACATAGCAACCATATGTTAGGAGCTTGAAGAAATACGACTCGTGGCAGTGTGAATGTGTTCTACCTGCAATCGCATCCGCAACTGCAGGAGTTTGCTTTGGGTGTGGCCAAGGTGCATGCAAACAAGAAGGCATGAGTGAAGTTGGCCCCACTGCTGCATGTGCTGTGCCACGGACCGAGACGTTGCAATCCCTAGTCACGGTACATGCTAGCTTCCATATGAAGTGCAGGGTTTCGCTCGGCCCGACATGCAGCTGGATCTTTGTCAGCTAGCAATATTGCTGGCTTTTGTGATTGATTCTGGGATGGGCACTTGATGTACTGTGAGCTACACACATGTACCACTGACAAACCGATGAACCTTCGGATGCTGTGTCCAACAAAGTCGTGCTTCCCGGGAACTTCGTGCACCATATGCACTCGGTTTTTGATGCTGGCTGCAGCAGTTAACACAATATCCGGGCATGATTAAGAGCCAACCTGTAAATGCTCTGGTCTATCCGCAGCAAACTAGCAGCTAGCAGCTACTTGATGGTTTTTGATCATGCTAGAAGGATAAGCTGGGCTTACGAGGCACTTGCTCTACATACCGCTTCTATATAGTCTGCATTCCCGCACCTATATATGTGTCTATGTGTGCTTGTTGCCCACCAGCTTTATCCAAGCTAGCTCGTGCTGGTTTTTGAACAAGTGAGCTGTGAACTGGGAAGAGGCACGGGCTGCTAGGAGCTAGAACACAATCATGATCGCAAGATTTGTGACTCAGCCTGCTGCCCACCGGTTTGCAGCACGCTGCGACTCCTCCGTCGGACGGAGACGAAAGATCATCTCAGGTTTTTGCTTGCACATGAGCTCATTTGGTTCTGTTGAATCCTTGCACTCGTTGGTGCTCTCTCACTGCCTCGGTCTCCCTCTCTCTCTGTCTCTTTCTCTCTCTCTCTCTCTCTCGATCTCCTCTCTCCCCTCTCCACTCTCTTCTCTCCGTGTCTTCCTCTGGCTTTTACAAGCTTAGAAGCACAGCTCCCCACGCAGGCCTCGACGTCCCGGCACCCGAGCCGAAGAGGACTCCTTCCGACCTGCCGTAAGCTTCACATTACATAAGCCGTAAAACTAATGAACTTTCACCCCATATATATAGGGAACACCTTAAATCCTGAACCCTGAACCCGCTAGCTAGGTTAAAATGCACCGCCCTATCGCAGGAAACGTCCAGCTCCGAGGCGGCGAGACTTACAACGACGATTGGATGCGAAAAATGCTGCTGCATCGAGCTCTCCTGTAACCCTGGACAAGCTTTATGTGCCCCAGCAAGAAGCACTGCCGTACAGGCTGCAGAGTCTGGCGAATGCATCTCTATCGAATACTGCTGTCGCTGCTCTACAAAAAAAGAATGCTGATGTGAACTGGATAAGCGACTTGTGTTCAGCCGCTGAAACCGAAAGCGGCAACAACATGCACTGGATCACCAAGAAGCTGGCTGGGAGGAGAACAGAGAAGCGATTCCACGAGTTTTTCGCACGATCATTACCAAAGGTATCGAAAATCAAGTTGCCGCTGCTGGTGTCGAAGAAGAAGAAACTTGTGGTTGAGAAACCATGCAGAGACTTGTTCAAACTTCCATCGTCGAACGTTCATGCTCTTGTAGTTTTCCGCACAACCTTCCTTAACCAACTTAAGGTATCGTTCTTCCGAGCTCCTACATGTCGTGGTTGGAGAAGCGGCCTTGGTTATTGCAAGCCATCTGCTTTGGTTCTTCTACGCCGCAAGATCGCGAGCTGCTGCTTGGTTTGTAAGTCAGGATCAGGTGCACTAGGCTAGTTTGCAGGAGCTACTTCGCTTCTGACAGATACGAGCAGCTCAGGTTGAGCAGCACTTTGCAGAACGGCGACGTTGGCTACACTGGAGGTCTTGTACCCTAACCTCGAAATTACCCTAAGCCCTTAACTCTAAATAAAAGGGTTCTTATCACGACAGGGCCTGATGATCTCCCATTTCGTCTGCACGGCGATGAGGGTCCTGGCCAAAAGTCCAAGAACGTGCTTGTTATCAATATGTCATTTCCTTATACTCATTCGGGTGAGCCTTGTTGGCAATGAAGCTGTTGTGTCCGCTTGTTTGGTCATGCAATTCGCTCGTGCTCACCTAGGACACTTTGAAGACTCGCCTGTGCCTCGCATGCCTTACTGGTCAAACGGTTCTCACTCGGGCGATGCAAAAGAACAAGAAGATCGGCACGCAATTCCCCGCGACCTTGGATGTTCTTATGAGCTTCCTCAAAGATGATTTGAAGAAAGTGTGCCTAGACCGGGTTATTCTGTGCTAAGTTTTCTGGCCCATAAGACCACTTATTGATGTCGAGTCTCCAGGAGATTCAAACTTGATGGCATATCTTCCAGAAAGCTATGCTATATGGGATTGGCTGGGGACCAGAAGTGGTTCCAACAGATCCTGCATTTGCCTGTGCCTCAGACGGGTACATCGTTTTTCTCAATGCTAGTTCATCCCTGGCTCAGTCCTCGACACTGGAAGGGGAACGGCGAGGCCAATGGAAACAGGCCCGGACATGCTCTCGTTCGGCTTTGAGGGTCTGTGGGGTAAATGTGCTTTTTCGAGGTTATTTGTTAGGCTTCAGGTACCCAACTAGGAAGTGGGGGGATGATATTTTAAGTAGGCAGGTCTACACATAATCCTTATGTAGCCTAAAGCCCGAACCGAACCCTCACTCCTAAATACTTGGAAGTGACGAGCTAGATCTGTGTGCAGGATGTGCATGCAGTGCCAGCATCTAGGAAAGCATCTGGGTCCAAATATTGCGAAGCCGTGCGACCTTAACTCATCCCAGGCTTTCCTCCACGATAGATTTGATGGATGGTGCAACATTCTTATCTATGGGGTCCGGGCACTACCTGAACTTCTTCGGAGATTCTCCTTGGGAGCTTTGTGGTCGCGAAAAAAATACAGAGGCTTGTCTGCCAGAGGCAAACATTTTTTGATCGTAACAAGTTCAACTGAGGACTTCTTGCAAGAGCTCTGGACTGCCCAAAGGGGGCACGGAATCCCTGCACTCTGCGACTTCGATGGCTTCGACAGCAAGCTGATCCACTTCGACACATTACATGTGTGCTACAGGGGTTTTGGGCCAGACTTTACCGCTTCAGTCATGCAAGACCTTTTTCTGGGAAACGGAGGCTTGACAAAAGCTCACACTCTTGCCTCTACATGGGCGAAAGCCCAAGGCCTCGAACTTGCTTGCGACGACTTCAATCTAAATGCAGATGAGAAGTACGCTTTCCTTAATGCTAAGGGTGCAGACATCAAAGTCATATGTTTATGGCTTGTTCCTGGAGCTGACAGCAACTGTTTTTAAGCGTTTTTTTTGTCGAATAGTCTACCGGTAACCACCCTTACCCCGGCCTGTACCCTGTATACTCTAAAACCAGAGCCCTAAGCCTTAATACATACAGGCCTGAATTTCTGCATAGCTACAGAAGCCCAGGCAGTATTGGTTCCGGTGGCTACAAAAACCTGGGCAGATAAGGAGAAAGCTGCAGTGCTGAATCTGAGACATGACTTCACAGTTTCGGAATTCAGATAAAGGCAAGTGCCATGCCTTTAAGCTTGGATCCAAGGACCGTCCGGTCATTGGCTCGGCTGATCAAACTCATGGATGCTTATCTCTACGTATTCCCACCGTCTGCTGTTGCAAAAGCGAAGAAGCTGGTTCGCCGCTTTTTGGTGGGCTACGTGTACCTGGCATATGATGCTTTTTGTGCCGGCAAACGCCGGTACAAGCTGAGACCAAAGATTCTTGCTCTGCATTAAACACATTGCAACATAATATGTTTCTGGCTTGGAAATGAAACGTCTCTGCAAATCAGGCTGCACACCTGGTTTCATATGTTCGCCGACTTGCACAAGCTGCCCA